TTAGTCACAATAGGGAACTGAAACAATAGATAAACTTTTACTTCATGGATATTTACTTGCAAATAAAATTCACAAAAATCATGGTTGACAGCACTGTTCGATCTGACATGGAATGACCCTGCTATGATTTATATGTTAATGACCTTGATTCTGCAGGGTTAATTGTAGAACAGAATTTATTTCCATTCCATAGATGCTTCATAGTAAGCCAATGATGTGGAATATGAAATTCACAGTTACAAATTTTTCTCTTGTGAAGTAATTCAGTTATGCTTTTGATAGCAAGAAGTGTGTGTGTGTGTGTCACTCAATGTCTGTCTGTTTCTTGTGTATTGGTAATTAAAATTGAGTGTTGTGTTCCAGGACACTGAACATTTCCGCAAGTCTGAACTGCAGTTAAGTCAGACAAATCAACAAATGGCTGTCTTTTCAGCTGTTGACAAGGAAGTGACTAGGAATAATACAATAATATTCAGTAACACTAATAATGACACAGTGCAGATTGACCAACAGTTTACAAGGTAAAATTATTTGTAATAATGTTTTATAGTATTTAATTTTAAATATGTGGGAAAATGTTTTCAGACAAATATAACAGATCATAGGAAGAGACATAGACTTAAATAAAATTATTCTCCTTGTCTGCACATCTGCTAGTTTCTGATCAGTGAGCTTGTTAGTTTCTTACTAAGCTGTTATGACTGTCAGATTGTTCATTGTGCAAACAGTTGCAGTGAGACAGTCATTAAATGTTTCTCTGGGAGTCAGTGAATTTAGATTCTATGAGGAAAACTGTAAGTGCAGGAAATGTAATATTCAGATTATAGAAATAGAATATTAAACAAGAAATCTTATACTGAAGAATTTTGAATGAATATTTCATGGTAAGATTAGTACCAAATTTTTTCTTGCTGTTACAATGTCTGGTTAGATTACAACAGTATCTGCAGCCAATTCACCATACAGCGTTTTATCAGTCGCACCCATCCCCTCAGCCTTAGAAACATGATCAGTGTTTAGCATGTGCCAGGTGAGCACAGAAAATACTTCCAGCTGCCTGAATCTTGTCCAATTTTATTTAGATTAAAGGCGTGGATCAGCGAGATCAAGTCAAAGGACTGTAGGAGTGAGTTATCAGCATTGCTTTGCCCTTTATTCTGCCGCCTGTACCTGGAGATGCTGAGAGGGGGGCATCAGCAGTCTGTAGCCAAGTTTTTCAAGAGACATCAAGGTCTGTTTGCATCAGAAGATCACAGCAGAGAGTTGGTTGAGGAGTTGGCGTGCGTCTACAGTAACCAGGATATTGACTCCAATCCTGCAGTCAAAGCTTTCAGGTAATTGGCACATGAGATACAACATTGTTAGATATTTGTCTGAACAGTCAGTTCTCCAGTGACATGTCTGTTATATTACTGGTTAGTGTAATGAAGTCAAATGATGCTTTGAGGTATAACAGTTTAGTTCTTGACGTAAATACAAACCCTGAAATATTTCATTTTATAACTAACTAACTAGATGGCTTACCAAACCCGAAGGTTCATCACCGAATTAACCAAAGCCCTCCACCGGACCCTGTCCTGGGCCAACAAAATCCAGTCTCCTTCAACTCCTTTCTCCCATAGATCCCGCCTGACATTATCCTCCCATCTACGTCTAGGTCTCCCCAGCGGTCTCTTCCCCTCAGGCTTCCCAACCAATACCCGTTGCACACTATGATTTAAAATTCAAACACATTATAATGGTAATTATTGTTGCAGTATGCATATTTAATGAACAAGAATTTGCATTTAGCAAGAATTAAATTTAATTAATTAATGACACTTAAGTGTGGTTAAGTGCCAGTTAACATTTGACTGTGAAATGCAAGAGGACTATATAATTTTATTATGACTACAGTAGAAAGTGCACTGTAAGCATTATGAGAGATAGTAGTGGTTGGATGAGGTAAAGATATGCTAGCCAGAGGAGAATCTTCCATAATCTGATAAGGCCTCTGGCTGTTCTGCTACATGTCTGAATTGTGTAAGAATGTGGAGATGCAACCCTTACCCTTGTCTGTTATTTCAGGTCATGCAAATACTGTTTGCACTTGTCTCCATTGTCCATGAGTGCCCTGCAGAAGTACCTTTCGCAACATGGCCATGTGATTATCCTTCAGGTTTGTGAATATTTTTGTGTATTTTGTGAGAAAAATTTGGGTTTATGAAGGAATGTGTTTTATTATATTTTTGCTGCTTTTAGAGGTTATAAGCCCCTTTTATGGGAAAATCGTATCTAGTTTGCTAATAATTCGATATTATTATTTAATTATATCATATTTATGTAGATATAATTCTTATCAGAATCAACAAAATGTTAACATCAGAACAAGAATGATATGTACGACATCTTGGTGACTTTTATTTTGTATTTGCATCTAGTTGCTGTTTAGTAAGTACATAATTTTTTTTAGCAAGTTTCTTGCCCACATATAACCAAACCTAACCTGGAAATAATAGAAATTGATGTAGGATGATGGAATGTTTTATGATTTGGCAATTGTTTAATTAGTAAAGCAGTTTTTTGGCTACAAAATAAATACATATGTTGAAACATCCCCTGTGCTTGTCTCGTTTGTCCCCATTTGACTTTTTCATATTCCTGGAACTGTTTTCGAAAGGGTCTGATTTTGAACCACTTGAAGACAGAGCAATGTGACAGCGGTACTGGAAGGGCTTCCAGAAATTTGTTTCTAGCATTGTTTCCAAATGTGGCAGAGGTGTTGAGATGTTGAGGTGTTAGAATGCTTGTGTAAAGTCAGAAGTCAAATGTTACTGAAACTTAGTGACAGTATTTCTTTTTATTCAGTCACTCCATTTTAAATTGTCAGGTCTCACACATGGACATTATGTTTATTGCTTCGTATACAGACGGACAGTCCATTTGTTGGTGTATTTACAGATAAGTGCAATGATCTGTAAGCCTCTGAAGTCCCTGTGCAGTATCAGAGCACTCCAAGTGTTCATATCTTACATAAGTGATCTAAGAATGTCTTGAACGTTAAAAACAAATTTTGTTCATGTATGTTCAGACACAAAACTGAAAAAATTCTCGAAGAAGACTGGTATTGTTATGATTAAATGTTACTGATTTATAGATAAAAATACTACAAAATACATGTGTCTCAAAAATAATTTTACTGCTTGCAGAGAATCCATTTTATAATGTAAGGTAGATGTTAGTTTGTATACCGTTGACTTATAGGTGTTGCAGACGTGGTTTGACTTTGAAATTGGAGAAACTGTAAAAATGGAGGGTGAGGAGGAAGAAGAAGAATTTGATGGCAGTGACGCTGTTGTTAGTGGAACCAATGAAAAGGTAAAGTTTCAGTTATGGTATAGAGTATTTTAAACAGTTAATGGACACACTGGTGTCCTGGTAAGCTTCTACCAGGCTATACAGTGCTACAACCCAGAAGACAGCAATCTTGTTAAAATACTGGTGTCACTTTCTGTCATGAATTATGAAAGACGGAATGAAACTGGAAAGTCTGAGGCATACACAGGATGTACACATACACTTTATTAGTTTTTACCTTGTAACAGGTTGGCAGTACTCAGAAACCATCTCATTCAGAAGTCGAGATGCAAGAGTTGCAGGAAGTTATTCGATTGGTGCGGGAAGGGCCACCCTCACCCTGCCCAATGTTGCTATATACTATAATGAACTCGGATAATAAGTGAGTATAACAGATTTTGTGAGATCCGCAAATTGGTTAATTATATTTGGAATAAAGAGTTGTCATACAGAGGAAGGAATCTATAATATGTTATTTACTAAAACTAGCTGCAGTGAAACCCCCATTTATGTTCCTCAGTTAAAGGATTTTACTCATTTAACATTTAATTTCAATGATCACAAGTCAGCAATCTGAAATTTTATCCAATTATGATATTCCTTAGTTTAATGTTGACATCCATTACTCACCAACAAAACTCAAATGTGGATTTTATTGTATCATAATTATTAACATACGTCAGTGTTATCAGCTTCATATAGGATGTTGTCCAACATTATTTTCTCAAGGTTAACTCATAGATAAAGTCGTGGGAGATAATCTTTATGGCTTTTGGAATCATAGATCAAATACTGATCAGATATTATACATTAATCAGATACTGGAGAAACTTAGAAAATATACGCATACCATAACAATTCTGATATGCTTGTCATAATTTATCCTTTGTGAGTGGCGTCAGTAATGTAAGAGTTGTCTGAAGTCATTGGCCTTCATGTGTGGCTCCAGTCCATAGCGTTGTGGGATTGATGCCGTTGCATCTCATACCTGATAGTGTGTGCATGTTGTGTTCTCAGCGTGGCATGTGGCTATACTTGGGGTGCAGCGGATATACTGGCTGCTGGATTTGGGTCTGAAGTCAGGCTGTGGGGTTTGACCCAGAATAAGGTGTTTAGCACTCCAAACCCCAACATTTCACGGGTGCATCTGGCTTGTGATGTGAGTGGCACACAAGAGTTAAGTGGGTGAGTTTGACTTGCAAATGAAAACTTTGGTTTGT